TCGTGGCCGCGTTGCAGCCCGTCGTGGCCCCATCGCTGCCATTCGTGGCCCCGTTGCAGCCCTTCGTGGCCCCCTCGCTGTCCGTCCTGGCCCCGTTGCAGCCCTTCGTGGCCCCCTCGCTGCCCTTCGTAGACCCGTTGCAGCCCTTCGTGGCCCCTTCGCTGCCCTTCGTAGACCCGTTGCAGCCCTTCGTGGCCCCTTCGCTGCCCTTCCTGGCCGCGTCGCAGTCATTCGTGGCCCCTTCGCTGCCCTTCGTGGCCCCGTTGCAGCCCTTCGTGGCCACCTCGCTGTCCTTCGTGGCCCCTGTTGCAGCCCTTCGTGGCCCCCGTCGCTGCCCTTCGTGGCCCCATATATATATATATATATATATATATATATATATATATATATGTATGTATGTATGCCATTCGTCGCCCCCGCTCGTTCGCGACCGTCATGGCCCCATATGCATGCCCTTCGTGGCCCCGCTGTCGCCCTTTGTGGCCACCTCGCTGTCCTGCGTGGCCCCGTTGCTGCCCTCAGTGGCCCCGTCCTGGCCCTCCGCGGCCCAATGTACGCATGCCCTTCGCGGCCCCCGCTCGTTCGCGCCTGTCGTGGCCCATGTGCATGCCATTCGTGGCCCCGCTGTCGCCCTTCGTGGCCCCCTCGCTGTCCTGCGTGGCCCACTTGCTACCCTCAGTGGACCCGTCGTTGCTTGCTTTCTGTGGCCCCGCATTATCTGCCCTTCGTGGCCCCCGTTCGTTCGCGCTCTTCGTGGCCCCATACGCTTTCCTCCGAGTGTCCCAGCTGTCGCCCTTCGTGGCCTACTTCGTGCCCTTCCTAGACCTGCTCTCGTTCTCTCTCTCGCTCTCGCTTTCGCTCGTCGTCGTCGTCGTCGATCCCGTCGTCGTCGACGTCGTCGTGGTCGCCGTCGTCGTCGGTTCCCTGTCTCTCTTGGGGTCGGGTTGCCGCCGATCAGCGCTGCCGCTGGCCAGGCCGACGGTCCGCGGCCGCCCCGCCGCTTGCAGGGGCCCGGCCTGCAGGGAAGAAAGGCATACCCCCCAAAAAAGGGCACGATCGAAGACGAAGAGGGCGGGTATCGAGGGCTTGGGGAATACGCGTTAACGGACACTCGGGCAGATGAGAGCGAACACTATTGTCACGTTTGAACAGTATTAATTCTAAAGAATAATTATTGTTGGGACCCCTGGTGCACGGCCCCCCTGCGCCGCCTAGGCCGCAGCTACATTTTCATCACTTTCGTGAGGAAGCCTCAGGTAATACGATGTCATCAAGATCCGGTTGTTTTGTTGTAATCCGTTTTCCCTTGCAAAAAACACTATAAAATGACATTTCTTGTTCTAATATAATCAAATTTCAAGAATCCCTTGCAAAAAATAAGGTAAAGTGGACATTCGCGCGCGCAAGACGAAATCCTTCCAAAAGCTTAGTGTTCGGAGCGATTTTAACATAAAAACATCAAAAAACCAATGGTTTTTCAACAAAAAAATGTCAAAATCTCATCCCGCGCGCTCTTGCGGATTCGTAGGAAACCCAACACTTTTTAAACATTTCTGTCAAACGGGCTTTTGCGAGCAACTTTTTCGAACTTCTGCGACAACGGTTGCGCACCTGCCAGGGCCATCATCCCTGTCAAATAATACCATGCGGGACACATTCGTTTTTTCTTCGCGCGCGCACGCCGAAATCTCCAAAAACCATTGGGTTTTTAAGAATTTTAGCACCGCGCATCATAAAATCACACGAATCGCACCGTAGGTCCTCGAAAAACACCTGCACGACTTTTCAAAATTTCCACCCGCGCGCGCTGTCCGAATCCTAAAAAAACCAATGGTTTTCCAACATTTATGTTACATGAGCTCGCGCGAGCTACTTTCGCACGCTCTTGCAACGGGGTTCGCGCGCCTGCCAGGGGCCAGAATCCCTTGCGGTTGCGCCATATGTTGCGCCCTCGGCCGCCGAGAATAAAACGCCCCCCTATTGGTTGCGTCATAGGTTGCGCCCTCGGCCGCCGAGAATAAAACGTCCCCCTACTGGTTGCGCCATAGGTTGCCCCAGGAGGCCTTCAAGAGGCCCCAAGAGCCCTCTTTAGAGCCGCGGCGGGGAAAAGACGGTGGGTGGGCGTGCAAGCGCCGTTCCCGCCCCTCCTCTCTCTTCTCTCCTTTCCTCCTTGTCCTGCTCCTCCTCCTCCTCCTCCTCCGGCGGGGGGCGTGAGGATCCGGCATCGCTCACAACCATCGGGACAACCATCGGGACAACCATCGGAACAACCATCGGGACAACCATCGGGACAATCATCGGGACAGTCATCGGGACAACGATCGGGACAAGCACAACCATCAGGACAACCATCGGGACAATCATCGGGACAACGATCGGGACAACCACAACCATCAGGACAACCATCGGGACAACCATCGAGACAACCATCGGGACAACCATATCCTCTCTCTCTTGTGTATTCCCACATCCCTCAGGAATTTGCCCTAAAGATGTGATCAACTATCTTGTGAGTACGTATCATGTGTATCATGTGTATCATGTACCATATGCATCATATGCAACAGATGTTCTGTGGAAGGCTTAACAACTTCTGTGGGTTAACAAGGCTTAACAACTTCTGTGGGTGTACGAACGTAGGCTTAACAACTTCTGTGGGTGTGTACTCCACGCCAGTGTAGTAGCCACGGTCGTCCGCAGGCCACGAAGTGAAGTGTCCGAACGTCATAGGGCGGGAAGCTGGGTGTGGGTGGTGGCGAAGAGTCGTGTGGATATTTGGTAGAGCTTGCACTGCCCCCCCACAAAGTGGGGGTATTGGCTGGCGTCGCATGAAAACCCTGGCACTGGTGAGAACACTGAGCGTTCGGGTAAAGTGATTGTTGTTGTTGTTGTTGTTGCTGTGGTTGTCGTTGTCGTTGTTGTTGTCGCCGTCCTCGAACGAGGCCCGCCGGCGACCCCACCCGCGACCCGCGACGCACCCGCGACCCACCTTCATCGCTTTGACGAACACTTGGCGCGGCGTGGTCATTGAGCAACGCGTAACAGATCAGCACCTGCGGTGGGCTTCTTCCGATGCGTCGCGGACAGACTGCCGACGATCCCGCTGCTCCGTCCCTCACTCATATCCGCAAACCGGGGGGGGGTACTCTTTCTCGCTCCCGGCCTCCTGGGCTCTTGCTGCCGTTGCTGCTCCTCCTCCTCCACCTCCTCCTCCTCCTCCACCTCCTCCTCCTCATCCTCCTTGGTCGGTTGGTCGGAATATGAAGACGTTTGGGCTCGCCGCCTGTTTGGCGGCGCGCACAAGGTTAGAGGGTTGGAAATGGGCACCGACACCAACACAGGGGTTTGCCTCCACAGGGGGAAGGTAATCCTTGATTTCGGTGTTGGTGGTAATGTTTCTGTCACCCTGGAAGCCAGAATATTACCACCATCACCGAGATCGGGATCTTCTTCCCTCGGTGGAGGCACACCGCAGATCTCGGTGTTGGTGTCAACCTCTGGGCCTGCGACAAGGGGGTGGAGGGAAGGGGGAGGCTCTTTGGAAAGGGGGCTGCACCTCCGAAGGCGCCGGCCTCTGACATCTACAGAGGAGGCCCGCGCCTCCCGAGACGCAAGGGCGCGCAGCCTCTCCGCCCTCCCCCGATTGATACCCCCTCTGCGCGCAGCCGGCCTCCCTGGCCATGGAGAGAGCAGGGCCAGCGGGGCGTGGGAGAGCAGAGCAGTTGGGGGGCCACATGCTAACCCTACCCCTACCCCCCACGATTTCTGAGGGGGAGGGTGGGGTTCACTTCGCTCGGGAGCTCCCGAACAAAGTGAACCCCACCCTCGCCCTCAGAAATCGCGAGGGGTTGGGGTAGGGTTCGCATGTGGCCCCCAAGCAGTGACGCCGCCAGAACGGAGACCTACAAGTCACCAGCCCCCCCGCCACGGCAAGCTCGTGTCGTGCCGACTGCGGCGTTGAGTCCTTGACACCGCGGGGATCGTTCAACCTTGAACCTTGAACGATCGGCCGTTTCCGAAACGTCCAAATCGTTCCACATCGAACGATTCTGGGTCGCCACCAGTCGACACGACACGAACCTGCCTTCCCCCCGCGGTGGCCGTGTCCAGGAAAGGGCCGAATGGCCTGAGACCGGCCGAAAATTCGGTGTCCAGCAGCTCCCCCCTGTCATGATAGATCGCAAGATGGGTAAACACATGCAAAGGCGGCAGCGGCGGCAGGGTCGGTGTTCCTCCTCCTCCTCCTCCTCCTCCTCCTCCTCCTCCTCCTCCTCCTCTCGCCTGAGACTTCCTCACCATCTATGAGCCTGAGGCAAAACATACAACATAATCACAGATGGAGGGGTGATTTACAAAATGTGGCTCTCGCCTTAGCGCCGCGCACATTCGTGCTCACAACTTGCAAGAGTTTCACGGATTCAGGGCGACCCGTTTTCAACATGTGGCTCTCGCCATAGAGCCGCATACATAAAACAAATGCAAGAGTTTCGCCATTTGAGGGCGGTTTCTTTTCAACATGAGGCTCTCACCATAGCGCCCGCGCACGTTTGATTTCACAGTTTGCAAAAGTTTCACGGACTCCCATGACCAGCGTACCAGGAATTGTGTTGTGGAAAGACTCTGAGTTATGAGGGCGCAACAGTTTCGTTGATTCGCGGTGTTGAAGTCCCCAGAATGGCGTTCTGGCACGATGCAGGATCGCCGAGAAGTAACAGCCAGGTTGATCCATGGCGTTGGAATCCCGAGCACGATGTTTTGGCATGCTTCAGGGCCTTCAAACGGTTGCCTTCCCACGAGGTGGTTCCCTCAGTGGAACTGAACCGTTCGAGGAGCCTATGAGGGGGGGGGGCGTGGAGAGAGGGCTCACTCTAACATCGTTGATGACTCTTGGGTTTAAACTGGTCCTCCTCCTCCTCCTCATCGTCGTCGTCCTCCTCCTCCTCCTCCTCCTCCTCCTCCTCCTCCTTCTCCCTCCGCCTGCCCTGAACTGAGGCGCGGGCGGCTGCGCCGCGCCGTTCGTGGCGGCCACGCCGTTCGCGCCGGCCGCGGCGCCCGCTGCCGCCTGGCCCCGCCCCCCGTTCCGCCGGGGGGAGCGTCGGCGGAGCCGTGGCCGACGTGGCGTGCTCACTCGAGCAGGGGCCAACCGCCCCGGCATTCCTACAGGCCCACCACGGACTCTTCTCAGAGCCCAAGATGTTATCAGAACACAAGCAGTGTTCTCAGAACAGAAACCAGCAACGTGCTGAGAACACATCGTGGTAGGCCTATCGGTTGTTTGGTAGGAAGGCCTATCGGAAGGTTCTTAGAACATTGTCTGGTAGGCCAATCGGGAAGCTCGGACGCTGCGCCACTGCTTGTTTCATTGGTTGCTCGCCGTCGTCAGCTTTACACATCCCCCCATGAATCACCAACGACACTGACCATTGACCTTCTGGGCGACGTGCTCTCCGCAAGATGAGCATGTCACGGAGTATCTCTCGGAGGCTACATGCCGCAGTGTCAGAAGACACCGAATACGCCTAACATGATCAGGACTAAAATCGTACTGACGAGTGGAAAGAGGACATCGTCGTCACATCTACAAGCAGACGGCGCGACATAAACATAGTCTTGAAAAGGTCCGTGCGGATTCCTTGGATTCACCGGCGCCTCTGGCGCCGCACCCTGGCGCGCCCGCGCAGCAGGGGGGCAGGAGGCCCAACGCCGATCCACGCCATCCGCGCTGCCCTCCGAACATCTACGTTGATGCGGTCCTCCTCCTCCTCCTCCTCCTCCTCCTCCACTTCTTCCTCCTCCCTCCTCCTCCTGCCCCCCCTCCCCCTCGTCCTCCTCCTCCTCCTCCGCCTCCTCCTCCGCCTCCTCCTCCTCCGCTGGGGTTTGCTCCTTGAGCGTCGTCGCCGTGAGCATGTGTATTCTTGAAGACGCCATCAAAACAGAATCGTGATCAACACGGTGGCGAGCACCATCACCGCCGTGATCGTCCTGATCAGGACGGCTGTCATCACGGATATTGTATCGCCATCGGCATAGCCCTGGTCGTCGTTGCCGTCGATGTCTGTCAACATTACGATCGTTGCCACCATCGTCATCCTCATCGTCGGCATCGTCGTTCTCCTGGTCGTTCCCGTCATCATGGTCATCGTCGCAACCAGTGCGTAGCGTCATCATCCGTTAAACTCCATAGACTTCGACGAAATCATTGTTGATGCGTGGGCACCCGACCTCTAGAGCCTATCCCGAAAGGGTGTTGTTCATCCTAGGTGGCTCCTGACAATCCAAGGGCCCCGAGCGGGCCTCTAGTCCAGCGGCAACACGCAACTGACTGATAATAACTGGCCGTTGCCATCTTTGCGTGGCGCCAGGATTCTGGGCTCATCGCAATCATCGCCACGGTCACCATCGTCATCCGACGACTTTGGCCTTGCGCCCACAACGTCCTCGCTTAGCCTCACTCTCACGGCTTTCCCCCCCACCGCTCCAGGAACCCCAATATATCAGGAAACTCCGTATCAACCGACCTACTCTGGTTCCATCTGCCACTGCACACTGCCTGTCCAGGAGATGAGCCGAGTGTGGTTCCCATGCTCGTGCTGCAAATCCGACATGTCATGAGGTGATGTGTTTCTTGGAAGCGCTATTTAAACATACACCGCCTCGGTTTAGCAGTCGTTAGTGGCTTTGCTGTGTGTCCTGGTAGTCTGTAATTGCCTTTAGAGTCTGTAGTGGCCTTTTATCAGTCTTTAGTCTTTAGTGGTCATTACCAGCCTGTAGCCGCCTTTAATCGCATTTTACCAGCCTTTAGTGGCCCGTGGCAGCCTTTGGCGGCCTTTGGTGGTCTGCAGCGGCCTGTAGCAGCCTCCCTGCAATCGTGTGCAGAGAAGTGTAGTAGCCATGTGACAATGTGAAGATGAGTCTCCAAAAAGACCCGCTCGAAGGGGAGGGATGGAAGGAGAGGGAAGGAAGGGATGAGGAGGAGGAGGAAGAAGAGGAGGAGGATGAGGAGGAGGAAGAGGAGGAGGAAGAGGAGGAAGAGGAGGAGGAGGAGGAGAAAGGGGTGAGGAAGAGGAGGATGAGGAGAAGAGGGAAGGAAGGGGTGAGGAGGAGGAGGAGGAAAGAGAGGGAAGGGAGAGGAGGCAGGAGGGAAGGAGCGAGCGGGGAAAACAAAAGGTACCGATACCGCTACTCCCCGGACCTCTCCCGGGTTGCGTTCTGGTCCGGATTCTGGGGCGAATCCAGCGGTGGCGACGAAGGCCTCCCAGGAGGCCCCAAAAGGGGAAAACCGGCGAAGGGTAGAGATATGTCGGCACCTCTTTCCTCCTCTGATAAGGAGGCAGGAGGAGGAAAGGGAGGGGAGGCAGTCGGGGACCTTCTGACCCGGGTCAATCCGGGCCTGGGTCAATCGGGCAATGCAAAATCCTGCAAGATTCTGCACAGAAGCCTGGGTCAATGCGACGGATCCTGCAGGATGCTGCACCCAAGCCTGGGTCAGTGCGGCCCGTGGCCCTGCAGGATCCTGTAAATTCTCGCGCTCTGGCTGAACCCCGTTTGCATTGACCCCCGTCCACCCCCGGCTCCGAAAGACTGCACGGCTGGCTCAGGGGAAGCACAGCCGCATCCACTACACAATGTTGCGCCTAGCTGCTAGACCTCCCCACCGTCCTGCCTTCTCAGATCCTCTCTGAGGAGAAGTTAGGAGGCAACTACTGGGAGGTTTTCGTCGGAGAGATTAGGGAGGATTAAGCCCCATTTGGGAGCTGTTACGCCAGAGTGGGCCTCGGACTAAGCAATATTAGGCCGGATTGAGCGGGATTAAGCCGGGTTGAGCGGGATGAACCGGGATCAAGCCAGATTAGGCCGGACTTCGGACCAGGGCAGAATCAGAAGTTGACCTCCCAGGAGCCCATATTTTCCCATATTTTCTGGGGAATCGACGATTCATTGTGTCTGTGTGTTTTTCCCATCCTGAGAGGCCCGAGGCACGGGGACAGGCGAGCTATGCCGGGCCTCGCGCCTCGCCTGCGGCCCTATCGTGGCCGGCCACATCTCTCCAGGGGCGGCTGCGCGCGGGGAGCGACCGGGGGCGCTCCCCGGGCTACAGGTCAGTTTTTGATACATGGGATTTTTACAAATATAGGATTTTTGATACACGACTAATCCCACCAGCCCTCTGGGCGTCGGTGGTTTAGAGCGTTTCCTCTTCCACCCCTCCTTCTTCCCCTTCGGGGAGGGGTTTACCCCTCCCCCTGCCCCCTCCCCACTGACCTGGACAGGGGGGGCGGGGAGCGGTCAGAGCGTCCAAAACGGCCTCGCCGAGGAAGCCAAAATCATTGATTTTACTAAGGTTTTGGCCCCATTTTGGCCCCCAGAGGGGGCAGCACTAATTGAAGCTCCCCTCTTCGTTGATCGATTTCCTCCAAGATGGCCCCAAGAAGCGCCCAGGAGGCACCAAGAGACCCCAAGATGGCCCCAAGATGGGCCCAAGAGCCCCCCAGGAGGCCCCCAAGAGGATCCCAAACGGCCCAAAGAGGCCCCCCCGAGGCACCCAAGACGCCGAAAAGCCCCTCAGGACGACCCTCTACTCGCCTGGGCGTCGTTTCTGGACGGGCTGGTGGGGATACGCGAAGCGTCTAGAATTGATGGACAAAATTATGCATGAACTCATCTTTGTTTTCAATACTAAATCCCTGCAGGTGTTATACATGATCCGCACGCGGAGCATGTATAAAAAACGGCACGACGAGCCTCGGCCAGACACATCGTGCTCCCCGCCAGGGCTCGCCAGAGCTGCCGCAGACAAGAGCTCCTCGACGACGACGACGACGATGATCGTCATCGTCATCGTCATCGTCGTCGTCGTCATCGTCATCGTCATCGTCATCGTCATAGTCGTCGTCGTCATCGGCATCGTCGTCGTCGAGCACGACGACGACGATGATCATCATCGTCATCGTCGTCATCGTCATCGTCATCGTCGTCGTCGTCCTCGAGCCCGAAGCGTACCGTATTGCAGCGCGGTGTCGCTTGATTTGTTCACAGCGTGGCTGACCAAAGGCCTGGACACCCCCCCCAAGGGCCAAACCGCTCATCAGGAGTCGCTTCTTTGTAAGGGCCCCCCCGGAGGCCAAGAAATGCCAAACCAATTCCGTCGAGTAATCGCTTGATGAAAAACCCACGATCCAACGTGGTGAAAAACAGCAACACGAAAAGTCACGACCAGAGCCCCACACCCCAGACCCATCTTTCTGCAACATCTTTCGGGCCAGATCGATCTGTCATGTTCCACGGACCAAGGACCCGGTGAAAACGGCCGGCGTGAAAAAAATCCAACGTCCAGGTCTCAGGGGATCGAGGGTTGACACTACACCTTTCAGTAAAACGCCCCTTCGTGAAAGCTTCCAGGGGGCTCCACATGCGAACGGTGCCGTATTCCGAGTGAACCCGGGCGGAATAGCTAAGCGACGTCCAGTGGCAGGCGACTGCATCGACAAAACACACGTCGATCATCGAAACCGATGGGGCACCGCACAGGTACACTCGCATGTTGCATCTCTCTCAGTCGACTTGCCTGGGCGGTGCTTCCATTTAGCATCGTTTGACCGATACATATCCCCACTGGCGTGGCCTGGGCCCCACTGACCACTGACCGACAGACCCCCTGAATGGAGATAAAGGCTGTTCCCTTCGGATCTCGAGGGGCATATTCCCATCTGAGGTGGCGGGATGGTGGGGACCGGCCTGGCGATAAAGATGGGGACGTGCATCGGTGAAACGATACTGATCAATCGACCTCTGAGGGGCGGATGTCAGGGGAGCCCTGGTGCCAGCTCTGAGAATGTGAACGCCCCCGCGCCCCGAAGGAGAGGAGGAGGAGGCGGAGGGGGAGGAGGGAGAAGAGGAGGAGGAGGAGGAGGAGAAGGAAAAGGAGGAGGAGGAGGAGGAGGAGGAGGAGGAGGAGGAAGGGAGGAGAGGAGGAGGGGAGGAGGAGGAGGAGGAGGAGGAGGAGGAGGAGGAGGAGGAGGAGGAGGAGGAGGAGGGGAGGGGGAGGAGGGGAGGAGGAGGAGG